AATTTGAAAGGAAAAATAATTGCAAAATTCAGTGTTTAATCATGAAAAATGATAGAAATATTTCATTTAGTCATGCAAAATATAACTAATGATAAGCATAATTAGAGTAGTGGTAAAGTCAGTGGGCAGCTGTCAGGACCAGAATTTCATGGGTAATGTTATGAGTGAGTGAAAATATTAATGTATTTTAATAAATCTGACCCAGAATATCACAGATTAAAGAAACATTAAGTAAAAAAAGCCTAAACTGAATTTTTTTCCTTTTTTTTTTCTTTTTTTTTAATTTCAGAAAATCACTTGGGCTTCACAATCTCCAAGAACATATCGATCGGACATTAGAGGCTGTTGTGGCTTCTGAAAAGACTCCAGGTAAATACTTAGTTCATATAGCATTGATTGCAAATTTACCCTGGTTTAAATACTTTCTTTGCTGTGGAATGTCTAAGTTTAGGCACATTTGATTTACTTTGTATACAACGTTCTATAAAGTTCTTTTCCTTTTTAACTTTTTTCTTTTCACATCCTCTTTCAAAAAGCTCTCCTGTTGTGCCTGTAATAGCTTGCTTGCATACCAAATTATTTATATTACAAGGTCAACTTTTTGCAGTTTCCTGTAGGATTGAGAAACGATATGTATAGTCATCATGTTAATCACTAAAATATGATTTGGTTTTCTCTGTCCGAATGAATTGACACAGTCTTTGTCAGTATTGCTAGAGCAATTACACACTGATACATGCTCCCACTCCTAAAAAAAATATAACACCAGATCAAAGTGGAACTTTGTGTATATATATATATATATATATATATATATATGTAAGCAAATATATGGATATAGATCCGACAGTATGAAGAAAAATATACAGAAAAAACAAACAAAAATCCTAATATGCAATTATGCTGTTTTAATGTTATGTCCATCGTCTTTTCATGTTGAATTAAATATAGTCTAATGTTAATTGTTTTATGAATATGTCCTGAAGATGGTCTACTAGACCGAAACGTTCAATGTTGACATTATATTAACATTAAAACAGCATAATTGCATATTAGATTTTTTTGTTTGTTTTTTCTGTATATTATATATATATATATATATATATATATATATATATATATATATATATATATATATATATATAATGCTATCATTTGTCCATGCATTGAATACTGTTGCTATAGCTGGTCTGGTGTCCCTGCTGTACATCTTGAGATTCTTGACAAAATCCAAAGAAGGGTCTATAATGTAATTGATCCTGACCACACACTTAACAATATATTTTATTGCCTCAGCAAACTAAATAAAATCATGACCAAAGGGGTGAACAAAGTGCATGTATGTGTGTTTGTAGAGAGATGTCCTTTTTTGTACATCTGTGTGGTGTGCATAAAGCTCCAATGAAAGACTGTGAGATACTTATATTTGGGGAAAAGTTCTTTGTTGATTTGGTAGGATTAATCTATCCTGACCAGATATCTCGACTATAGTCACTTTCTCACCAATGTGACATGGCTTCCTTCTATCTTTTCTACAAATATTTTCATGGCAGCTGCTCTTATGAGCTTTTTTTTTTCTCTGGTACCCCAACTACATGAATTTAAGCTGTCTGGTGCTCCTGCAATATATCTCAAGATTCTTGAGATTAAAAGAAGACTCTGTAATGTAATCGATGCTGCCCTGGCATCTTGACTTCAGTCACTTTCTCACTGACATGACATGGCTTCCCTCTGTCTTTTCTATAAATATTTTCATGACAATTGTTCTGATGAACTTTCCACCTTGATGCCTCAAATGCATACATTTAAGTGTGCTGCTAGATAGGCAAATTGATCTCACCATTTTACTGTTAAAATTGCTAAATGCAACTCTATGCTCTATTCTAATAGATTCTTTTCTTTTGTACTTCCCACCTGTGGAAATTCCTTCTGATTTCTTGCTCTTCTGATAATTACAATCTTCAAAATTTCATTTACCATCTTCTCTCTTCTTGAACACCTTTTTTTTTTTTTTGTCCTTTCCTCCACATTCTCAGTGTTCTAATTCTCTTTCACTTTCACACTTTGTAAACCCCTGTGTTCTAGTGGCATTATTGCCTTGCCTGGGGTGAAACGATTTAAAAAAAAAAAAAAAAAGAAGCCCTATCTGCATTTCCCCTATTGGGAAAGTATCAAATGAAGGATAATATCCTCAGTTTCTCTAATTTTTGACCCTTTACAATCCCTCTTGTTCTGCTATCCATTGACATGCCATGTTCCTTCAGAATGATCATGGTTCTCCACAGCTTCCTATCTTTTGTTTCTCTAAGTAACTCTTGCCTTATTACTACTCCTTTTGTCTTTATAAAAGCCATAAAAAAAATTTTAATAATCTACAGATTTGGTATTTGAAAAAAAAAACAAAAAAACTCATTACTCATAAGTTAACAGAAAATGTTAGAGAAGTGATCATATTCAATTACTGAATGTGTAAGTTGGATGCTGAAAAGTTCTTAGCCTGTCTAAAAAGAGAATGACCTAAAGCCATGAACTATCCTTTCATATTATTTCCAAATTTTGTTCAACCCTTACATAAAAAGTTTTGTTTGGTTATATGGCTCTAGGCTATTTGGCCTGGTTGAGCTGATAACTTTTCATCACCCCCTTGTACAAGTGTTAATTTTTTGTCATAATTATTAATTATGACTCTATTAAGTATAATTATTAATTACTACATAATTTTAGCTTACTAACCTCTTTATGCAAACTACAAATTGGAGGCACCAAAATCAAACAAGTATAAAAATTGAAATATCTGGGAAGTGTTTTAAAAGAATAGAAAATATGACAGCAAAATCCAAAGTAGCATTGGAATAGTGAAATATACCTTCCAAAAGCTAAGCAAAGTATTAAGAAATAGGAAAATTTTGTTAGAAATAAAGAAAAGTCTACTGAACTGTTATGTAATATTAATCCTGCTATATGGTAGTGAATGCTGGGCAATCTCATTGCAGATGAAGAAGAGACTTGAGGCAACAAATGTGGAAAGTTACCAAATTTCAACGGCAACATACTCAGAGAAAATACTGTAATATAACTATAAAAAATATAATAGCCTCATTGACATGTAAAGAAATGGCTAAAAATAATGGAAGCATTTATCATAAAAAAAAGAGAAAGCCAATACTCAATAACATCAATTATGAACATGGCCACAATGTGCTGACCATGTTTGGAAAATAAAAAAACATTCCCATCACCATAGATACACATATATAAAAATGCACACATTCAGTTAAATATAAAAAATAAAAAAACATCCTTGATAATAGCTAATAGAATAGATAAAAGCTCTTGGATATATAGAACACCCGGACATTTTTTGCACACTTTATGTTCAGAAAAAACCCCCTTACATGAACACAAGAAAAATTGAATAAAAAGCTTAATCGTGGTTCCTTGTCAGTCATCTTTAATGAAACTTGTATAAAAGAGGGATTGCTTCCCAAATACACAAAATATATATATATATATATATATATATATATATTTCTGAGATGAAGTATTATTTACATTATTTGGACTATTGTCCTCATCTTTGTCACTATATTTATTACAATGTTTTGGCCGTTGTACGCTCCAGCCTTCTTCAGGTGTTTGGAATGTCGAACTTAACCGTTTATTTCACATGTCCTGGGTATGACAATAAACTACATCCGCGTCCTGGGTATGACGATAAACTACGTCCAACAGCAAGGCCTCTGATGTTTTTGAAAGAATAATGTTGCCAGCTATACGTTTTTAGAAGAATAATGTTGCCAGCTGTACGTTTTTAGAAGAATAATGTTGCCAGCTATGCAATTTTGAAAAAAATAATGTTGCCATCTATACGTTTAATACTATATATATATATATATATATATATATATATATATATATATATATATATATATATATAAACTTAATTTGGCATTAAATGACCTACAGTGGTTGATATACCTTACAATAGTCCAAATAATGTAAATAAATATATATATAATTTTTTTTCGGCAACCAGACATCGCTACTTAGTTTGTCTTTTGTAAACTACTGACGGATTATCTCTGGTTACAGGCCAACAATAATCAGCCAACATTAATATACTCCAACTATCCTGATACCTTTTCACCATTGCTGCAATGTCTTGATGAAATCATTTACCATGCTCGTCACTTACAGCCCCACAATTTTGGGGGTAAAATAAATCAAGATGCAAGTCTAAGAAGTGAATCTTCAATAACATGTTACAGGCAAGCTGTTTCTCTGCCTTCAGGTGTTCCACCATTTTTCTGTAATTTTTTTGCTCTTTCATTAACCAAGAAGTTGGTTGTCACTGACTTGAAAGTTTGCCAATCATTTTTTCGTTACCCCAAAGTACTCTGTTGAAATTTTCACCCAAAAGAATTTTATGAATCTGAGGATCAACAAAGATGACTTTCTTTATCTTTGCTTCACTTATCCTGGAAAATTTATTCTTCTCATACTTGAATGCTGCCTTTGTTTTGTTCGTAGCCTTCAGAAAATTTTTCATTAGACCAGGCTTGATGTGAAGAGGTGGCAACAAAATTTTCTTTGACTGAACTAGCGGTGGATGCCGAACATTTTTCTTTCCAGGTGATTGTCATAGTTACCAGTTTCTCGTGATTTAATGAGAGCTTCTGTCTCGGCTGTTCCATTCACAAAGAAATTGAATATCATTTTTATTTCCAGTGGCCAAAAATTAGCTAAGATTGGCTATTTCTGCTTTTGAAATTTTTATGTTATGAGATTGATGGATTTGTTTTTTTATTTTTGGTGATAATAATGATTTAGTGATACAAGTCTTACTAATTAATCCATAGCTGGGTGAGAATAGGTGGATTCACACATTTCCTAAGGGTGTTTGCATATATATGAATATAACAAACCCAACTGGAAATGGAACTTGGCTCTCTGATTAACAACGCTGAGCCATTATCCATTACACCACCTGCACATCCAAGCTTACAGTGCATGGTATTCTCAAGCAGTCACCCATCTAAGTACTGACCAGCATAGGTATTGCTTAACTTCAGTGATCATATGGGAACCAGTTTTTCAATGTGATGTAACTGTAGGCTTTCATATTGTAGACCAGTGTTATTTACGACTCAACCTTATATATATATATATATATATATATATATATATATATATATATATATAATATTAGTGGTAAATATACACATACATATGCAAAATATATACATAGGTGCATACATATACATATATATTTTTGAATAAAAAATTCCAAGAGGATAGAATCCAGGTAGAACTCAATGTCCAGGACAGAGTAAGGATATAATAAAAAGGCTTAAACACTAATATTCCATGGTCATAATTTATTCCATTGGAATCGTAAATACAATCCAATTCATCAGACCTACAAATTCAAAAAGAAAACAGTGTTTATGTTTTGAATCATTTCTTATGTCTACATTTAGAAAATATCTCATTACGAAGATTCAGCAGTTCATCTTGATATATATATATATATATATATATATATATATATATATATATATACTTTAGAAATTAGGGAGATCAGTTGATTTTCGCTACCTTGGTTTCAATCTTATGGTATCATCAGATGATTTTTATCACTTGACCTCCCAACACTTTATTTTAAAAAAACAACAAAAGAATCAATGAATGTTATATTATTTTTAAAAATAAATAAACAAATACATAGACTTTGGGTGTGACAGAAAGGGAAAGAGAAGAAGAAGTGGGAGGAGGAGAAAAGCATGGGTATTAAAATGGGGGTGTTAATTGAAATGTACATATTTTTTAACCATCTTCATATGAGCTTAAGAGGAATTTTTTTGTGTGTATGCAACAGCTCATGACTTCGGAACTCTGGTTCAAAAGGTGTTTTTGAGCCAGAAATTTTATTATTGCTAATTTTTCCTGTTGGCAGAGGTTGAAAATGTTATTGAGGTTGTTGTAAGGCTTTACCTTTTTAAAAATTTTCCATCTTACAATCTGATTCCTGTTGTTTTCTTCTTTTGAATTCTACACATGGTTAGCTCTTCAGTTTTACAAGATATATAAAATCATAAATAACATATATGAAAATAAAGTAGAATTAAAGTTTCTTGAATGCTATATTCACCATTATTTGCAATGACTTGTTGCCATTTATCAGGCAGCTTTTCAATATCTTTTCAGTGAAATTCCACAGGTTTTGAGGTGAAAAACTTTTCGACAAACTCTTGAATTTGGTTTTATTAGAAAACGTTTGGTAGTGACAGATTGGATAGAACATCATAACTGAGGTCCAAAATGTTTTGCCGTGTGTGACCTTGTGTGCTATCATGCAGGAGGAAAATATTTTTCCTATTGACAAGCATAGGGTGCTTTTCAGCTAAACTTTTATGAACATGTTGTAACTGCTGGTAATGTAAATGCGCATATATTGTTTCTCCAAATGAGTGATATGTACAACATTACCTTCCCCCCATGGCGCTTAGCTTTTGAGGTCAGTTATGGCGGTTTATGCTTGTCAATCCACTGCATTTTGCATTGGACATTGTCATATGTTAGTTACTCAAAATGTTTTCTTAACTGATCTATACAATTAGTGGATAGGATAATACCCTCATGAATTGCAATTGGTCCCAACAACCTAAATGACTTATGACTAAACTTATGTATAATTAGGAAAAAACTTATAATAATTAGGAAAAAACCTTAAAAATCCACATTTGGTAATAAATTTATTTTGATGAATAAAGATTTTTTTTTTTTAATAATTTTGCTTTGTATCATACATTGAGCTCTCATATGGACTAAAAGTCCTCTCTGGAATAATCCCTACCAATTACAATTTGTGATTAGTTATTTTCATATATATATATATATATATATATATATATATATATATATATATATATATATATATAATACCTACATTGGCTGCACAACTTGGAGTTTCATGCTTATGCAATCTTCAGTTTAACACTGGTTTTTTAATATTTCTGGTCATCATGAGATATTTTATTGTTAGGATGGATTGTTATTGTTGTTAATTATTTAAATGGATTGCAGTTTAATTTTGAATTTGAATGAATTTAGGCTTAGATTAGCATTTACTTATATATTTGATATATAATATGAAAACCTTTTAAGGTATGGGTTACATACATGTGAAAACCTAATAATAGTAAGGACTTAAAATATGCCTTAATTTTTGTTACACCGGCCTCTAACACAAGGGAATTACACCGGTTCTCACTATATATATAGTGTCAGTAGTACCTACCCGAAGTAGCAGCGACAGTACTACACTGCCTAACTGAGTAGTACCCATTTCCTACCTTTGTATCTGTGATGTTAAATACACTTGTTCCTTAACCCAACTTCGACTTGATTTTCTTATTTTTACTATTGTGCCACGACACAACAGATTGGCGACGTCGGAATCGAAACGATATCACTGCAGACAATCACCTAAAGTGATTAAAATACAAGGATTCGCAAGACTTTTACGTCAAAACACCTTTGTCATTTCGAACAGATATGTGGATACGCAAGGATTAATAGCAAATTAATTACTACATTAGCAATTTGACGATGTAAAAAAAAAAAAATAGAAACAACCAAAAATTTGCTACTAAAAGTCTACAGCGTGAGAACGCGAATAATATTGTCAATTATTAAAATAGTTGAAAATACTGACACCAAGGGTTTCGGAAGAGAAAAAAAAAAGGTTCACTGTTTTTTTTGTTTTTTACAAGAAACCAGAGTTTGTTGTCACGGTGAGATATTTTGTTTTTCTCCTCTTCAAAGTTAAATGATTTGTCGAGTGAAAAATATATATTCGTAAGTCATTTGGGCTTAACAAAGACTTAAAATTCAAGTCATATTTGTGCAAAGCCACAAAGAGGTTGGAAAAAAAATTTTGTGACTTTCCCATTAGTGACACTCCTTAAAGCGACGTTTTTTTTTTTTTTTTTCGAGAAATACATATTTCTTGTTTGTGTATTAGTTGAGCAAACTAATTTTTTATTAAGCAAGCCTTGGGAAAACTGATTTGTTTAATACAAGTGTAAACTGTATGGTGCGTAAATTGAATTTGTACCATGGACGCAGAATTAAGAGAGTCTCTTCTTCAGTTGTTCAAATTTCAAACGGAACAAAGTCTTGCGTTAAAAAAAGCAACAACTTCAACGACAACTTGAAAGTGAGGAGAAATTTAAAAAGAGTTGTTGGAACAACAGAAACACGTCAAACAAATCTTTATGAAAACACAGGAGGAACAGAGGAAAATTCTGGAGGCAACACAGTTAACGAAGGCAAGCGAGAATCATTTTCCCAGACGGCTGTGTGGAACGCTATTGAAAGTTTGAATTATAATCCATAAGACGATGTCACGTTTGCTCATTTCTATAGAAGATATGAGGATATTTTTGTGTCGGATTACGGTACATGGACAGACGCTAAAAAAGTTAGGTTTCTGCTAAGAAAATTGGGAACTGCCGAGCATACAAAGTTTGTGAATTTTATCCTTCCAAAAAAGACCAGTGAGTTGAACTTTCAAGAGACAGTTACTCTACTAACAGAACTGTTTTCTACAAAAACTTCTCTTTTTCACAGGAGATATAAGTGTATGAATGTCACTAGAAGAGAGGAAGATGATTACACTACTTATGCAAGTATTGTAAACAAGCTTTGCGACGACTTTAAACTGGAGGAATTATCATCAGATAATTTTAAATGTTTAATATTTGTGCAAGGGCTGGTTTTTTAGGTAAAGACGCTGAGATCAGGCGTCATGTTTTAAATAAACTCGAAAATGAGCCAATTTAAAACTACAAAGCTTAGCGGAAGACTATGAACGGTTTGTTGCGTTGAAACAGGACAGTCGTGACATAGAGGAAAGCGGAGTGTCGCACATTAAAAAGGTCCTTCAGAAGAAAAATTTAACTTCAAAAAATAACCAGAGGAAAAAACAGGGAAAAGATCCACCGGGACCATGTTGGAGGTGTGGAGATAAACATTGGTACAATGAGTGTCCCTACAAATTCAAACAATGTGACAACTGCTACCGGAAGGTGCATAAGGCATCACATTGTCGGAAAAAATCTGGTAGAAAGAAGACATCCATTAAACTAACGAAAAAATTGAACCTGAGGAACGAAATATCCGGAAATTTGTACAGGTCAAAATGTTTAAAAAGAAAGTAAGACTACAGCTTGATAGTGGGTCTGATATTTCCATCATTAATATACAGACATGGAAGAAGCTTGGGAGACCCACTATGATTAAATCACATAAAACGGCGAGAAGCGTCAGTGGTGAAAAAAATCACCTTGAAGGAGAATTATTGGCGAATATTTCTTTTCAGAATAAGACCGAAAAAGCGAAAATTTTTGTCATGCGAAAATCAAATAATCTCTTTGGAACTGATCTGTTCGAAAAATTTAGACTATGGGATCTGCCTTTAAGCTCTTTTTGGCAAAAAGTTGAGGATTCGAATGTGGAGGCAGAAAAACTTAAGAGGGAGTTAAAAGAGAATTTTCCAGACGTATTTACAGGCGGTCTTAGAAGGTGTACAAAAGTGGTGGCAAAATTTGAAGTCAAAGAAAATGAACAGCTAGTGTTCAAAAAGAAAAGAAAGGTTCCATACGCAGCTATAGAACAAATAGGCGGTGAATTAGAAAGACTCGAAAACATGGGTGTCCTCGAAAAATTGATCACAGTGAGTGGGCTGCCAACAGTTTACATCAAAAAGAAGAGCAAGGAGATTAGGGTTTGTGCCGATTTCTCAACAGGTTTAAACAATGCATTAAAGGATCACCATTATCCCTTCCGAGCCCTGAAGAAATATTAGCGAAACTGAGTGGAGGGAAATATTTTTCTAAAATCGACCTCAGTGACGCGATTTACAAATCCCAGTCGATCAGGAGTGTTCAAAGCTGCTATGCATCAATACCCATAAGGGATTATACAAGTTTAACAGACTTCCTTTTTGGGGTCAAAAGTCAGCCCCTGCGATTTTTCAACAAACAATGGACATGATGTTAAGTGGGCTGGACTTGCAGTAGGGTACCTGGATGA